ACACTAATGACCGCAAAATCACTAAGACTCAACTGGCCCTATTCTGAACAAGATTTAAGGGCTTATAAGAAGAAATGCGCCGATGACGAGGTAGCCGCCTGGGAGAAGCCGGGATTCCAAGGGAGAGCGGCTAGGGCGCATATAAACGATCCGATTGGAAATACCTTTTTGAAAGATTATCATCTTCTGAAAACTGGTCTTTTTATCACTGCAGTCCAATTGAGATCAAATACCGCTGCCAATAAAACTACTCTTCGTAGAGGAAGGCCCAGAGAGGATGTTTTCTGCAGGAAGTGCAATACAGCGGTAGAAACCATGAATCACATCATCGGTCAGTGCATTTTTACGAAGCCAGCAAGAATAAAGCGTCATGACGAGATCAAAAACTTCATAGAAGGAAAGATGCTCCGTAAATAAGACACGGTGGTGTCCACGGAATCCACTTTCTTCGTTGCCGAAGGGGTTAGACTCAATCCTGACATGGTCGATTGTGATTGTCCGCCACGAGGATGGATCTAGCCTTCTGAAAGCAGGGGAGGAAAATGTGGTAAATTACCAACCAGTCATCCCCCTGGCAGCCCAACTTCATAGAGTACCCAACGCCAGAATCCTGCCAGTGGTGGTTGGAACCTCTGGGTCTATGCCAAGATTTACAGTCAGTGTCCTCAACACCCTGAGGATCACGCCTCGAGACGATCTATTGACTATCTCGTTAATTGTTCTCAGAAGCTTTATTAAACTTTACACACAATTTGTAAATTACGATGGAGCAGTTTAGCATTGTTGGTAGTAAATGGAGCAAATAAATTTCAATGTCCCGCGGGGAAGTCTAGGGAACCCATTGGATCCAAAAATGCTTAGGAATTACCCAGTTACCAAGGCTCTAAGTGGAAAGTGTATGCTATTTAATGTAGCATATAGAAAATAGTGTAGTCAGAATCCATGTTTTGGGAGTCCTTGATGCCGAAAAATCAATTGACGGCCAAACGTGCGTCTGTCTGTGTTCAATGCTAGCGCCTAACGCGTTATTCCTATTTTCTCCAAAATTGATATTCCACCATCGATCTTAATGAATTCCAGCCTTTGCGAGTTTAGAATAGATATTTTGATTTGTGAGGGTTCTTAATATAATCCTCAAACCTTCAATTTTTTTCATCAAACTTTGTCCTCGGATTGCGTAAAGTATGCTTAAATTAATGGTGCAGGTTTCATTTTCGTCAAAATCACTGATTTTTCGTACATTACAAAAGTGTCATTTTTCGGAGTCTTTTTAAAATTACTATATTGAAGTTCGAGATTTTTTTCTCAATGAAATTGTTTTTTAAAGAAATACCTTGAAATACATGTTCAATTGTTCGACAATATGAGTTTTCGAGTAATTTTGTGCGCGAAATATACACAATTTAAAACGTTTTTAAAACATTTTTTATCACAAAATTGCTCAATTTTTTCTATAAATTGTCACCACATATGTATCAAGACATGGTGCTCGTCCCATTTTCGATAAACTCTCCGTTTTTCAAAAATTTCAAAACTACAAAATTGAAGATAGAGTTTTGCCTTAAACCAAATCTGTAAAAAATATCAGAACTAAAAAAAAGGCCATGTTGAATATTTTGGTAACACGAGTAGTTTTCACGTAATTTCAAGTTAAAATTAATGCAAAATCAATCGACTTTCCGGTATCAAGGACCCCCAAAATGTGAATTCTGACACTACCACGTGTTAGAAGAAGTAATTTACTAAACATATCATCAGGATATATTCAGTCTTTCGTTACCAGTACCCGATTATAAGAGTTTTCCTGCCGAAAATTTCCTTTTTCGGTACAAGATTACAATACTTCCCCTTTTTACGAAGCAAGTGCGAGAAAGTAAAATCAGGCCTTAAAAAAGATCATAAACAATTTTTTGACAAAGAAAAGATTATACATAATTTTTTGTCAAGTTGCGCGAAAACGAGTATTTTTGCGTAAATTGTGCTAAAAATTTATACAATTTATAAAATAACATTTTCTCAAAAACCTTTCGAAATTTGTTCGTCAGTTGCTGTTTTTTCACGGATAAAAGAAGAAATGCTTAAAAGAATGGCGCAGGCTAATTTTCCTTGAAATTTGGAAATTTAGAAATAATATGAGAAAGTCTGTGCTGTTTCGCATCATCAGTTTTAGATTACGTTATTCTGGGTACCCTATTTCGCAGGTTCTGAAACGGACTGAAACTCGAAATCTGCGGACAATGAAATTGAAAGTAAATGAGAGTGACAACACTAATTTACTTAACAGATATGAACAAATAATTTTCTCCGAAACAATTAAGGTTCACTACTTGATTTTCTGTGTCATTTAATCTCCACATTCGCTATATTAGAATGTTTCATCATGGTTACGTTACGTTATATAATGCTGCAACGCAAAGTTTAAGCCCGTTCGAAGTTGTTTTCGAAGCTATTTTCACTTTTTAAACAATAAATTACAAACTGCGGAATGCTCGCAACGGATACGGCTAGAATTTTTTTAAAAAAATATATAAACGTTTCAACAATGTAGATTATTCTAAATAAATTGTTTTCAGACGTTCAATTTCGTTGTGAAAAATTTCTTCAGAAAACGAAATATTTGTAGAACTGTACTTACCTACGATATGTAGTTCCATATTCTTCTGGGACGTTCACTGCACCATATCGTCTGTTGATCAGTGTTGACACGTGTTCGGTAAAGATGATAGTTTACTCACTTCAGTACAAGATAAACTTTCCTAAATTTAAAATATTTAAATTAAATAATATTTCAGAATTTAAAACAATTATTAAAATGTCTAGAAGGCTTTCATATTATTGGAAGTCTCCAGTAGTCTGTCTCACGAATCCAAACTTCTCTTTGTTTGTCAAATCACTTCTCGCAAGACAGCGTCAAATACGGTAGATAAGCTGGACGTTTAACAAGATGCTTATCAATCAAACTACACAGCGGAGGCATGTGAAAGAAACAATCCGCTACAAAGCAGGCAATTGTGGATTTCCCATTTGATAACACTGAAGGATAACCCTGCACCACACGCGGCCAATAGTCATAACGATTCAACGTGCATAACAGTGGGTGCTTGGAGATTGCTGATGGATTTCACCCAACATAAGCAAGATAAGTTCTAAACATAAAAATGTAATACAATACTTTTTTAAATTTAAATACTTAACAAAAGTATTCAAATCATGAATAATAAAAATCTGTGAACAACATGTGTTATCATAAACCATTGTTTTTCCATTGTTAGAAAAAAATATAGCAATTCTACATTTATTTCAGTAGCATTACATGTTTCAACATACGTAGATAACGCTCTGACAATGCCAGTTCGGCTCTGCCTCCGTTCGTCGCACTTATCAATTCTATAAAAGGAACCATTTTGTCAAGTTGTTAATCAACTCGGCGCGTTCTGGCGTAGATTTTTTTCTCACGCGTGAGAAACTGCAACATGACTCTCCTAACCTAGCGTCAAAGTACAATTCTTCCAATTATTCAGATTTATTCCATACCTTTTTTAAAATTTTCCAATTTATATTGTTTTTCTAACACCTAAACGTAATGAAATCATTTATTTTATTTAAAATAATGAGTGAAAATACAAAAACTAACGTGGAACATAAAAAAAAAGAAATTACTATTGAATATTATATATATAATTATAAATATTAATATAAGAAATAAATTTACTATTGTGTTTACTAATGTGCCGATATTCATCCTACTTATTCACTCGCTTTTTGTTTACTTTTTACTCAGTTTGTGTTATCAATGTATTAATGTATTTCTTTTTAAGCAACTACAAGATTAATAGAAATATCGCAACAATGCCCCCAAGTACAATATTATCTGCACCTCAACTGTTTATATATAATTAGGGACTATACCGAGCAACCAAAAGAAAAGTAATAGTAATTTTAACAATAAATTCAATGTATTAATTATCATTTAGATTGTATAATTCTAAAGAACCTGTAACAAGTATTGTACTTTAGCATCTGGATCAATGACCCCCATCTCAATCACGTTTTCGACCAGTTTCCCTGATCCTTGAGCAAATGCTGAGATGGCCCCTTGGTTTGTTTCTGGACATAAATGTAACTTCGAATTAACTTCTCCCCATAGAACGTCACACAAATGAGAGCGTAGGCTTCCGCGGCCGAAGTCAATATTTACTTGGCTGTCCGGATGACGCCGTGCCCATGGCAAAGGTGCCTACGTTTCGGTCGCCATTCTGCGACCTTCCTCAGGGCGTAATGGCTGGTAATGGCGACCAAAACGTCGGCACCTTTGCCATGGGCGCGGCGTCACCAGGACAGCCAAGTAAATAAATACGTCATACAAAGTTTTTAACCGTTTTTGATAAATAAAGAAATAAATAGCGAGAGAGTTAGTGAGCGAGGGAGAGGGAGAGAGAGGGAGAGAGACACACACCACTCACACACACGCCGGCACGGGCACGCTAGCGCGCGCACGGGCGCGACGCACGCGCGGCAAACGCGCACACGCGCGCGCGGCAACACAACACAACACGCACCCGCACGCACGCCACCACGCGCACACGCGTCACACATGCGCACCACAGCGCACTCTCGTTCTCTCTCTCTCTCCTCTTCCTCTCTCTCTCTCCTCTCTCCCTCGTGGTCCTCTCGGCTCTGGCTCGTCTTCCTCGTCTCCGTTCTCACTTCTCAGCCGCGCTGGCAGCGCGAAAATCTGCTTGGATATTAATGAAACAAGTGTCCCACCTTCTAAGGGTCACGAAAACAGTCCTCGGGGGACAGGAATGAATCAAAGGGAAAAAAAATAATTAATTTAATTTTAATTGTAATTTACTATTGAAATCCCAATATTAATTGGATTTTTACTCTAATCAACAATTTGTTATACAAATTGTTGATTATATAAACATGCCACGATCCAGCCACATTGGATCGTTTTTAGTTCTGGATATTTAATTTATACGTGAAATTATCCTTGCTTGTTTGAAAGATGAGCTGGAAATAATGCGAGACGTTACAAAAAATGCGAGAAAGTATATGCTGTTGAGCATCACGAGTATTACGCCTGTTTCACGCCGTGTTCTGTGTCAAGTCATGGAGTTTTTGTGTTAAGTGACAAAATGTGCCACCAAATCTGGACATAATCGCGCTCATTTGAGCGCTCTCGTCTTTCAAGAGATGTCATTGCATTAAAGTGTCTTGATGTCTACGCCGTGACATTTGGTATCGTGAAAACAAACGGCCCTTGGAATGGAATGTGTTCTGTTACTCGGTATGAGTCATAGTAGTAGGCGAAACTAGAGGTTAAGGAGAGAAAATGAAGTGACACGTTACTTGTAGATTTGGTTAATCAAATACCATCGGAATGAATATAAAGTGTGGAAGCTAACCGAGAAAGTGGACTACAGAACTCCGAAAAAATGCCACTGCAAAGGCCATTTAACTTGTAAATCAACAAGGACTGTCATAAAGTATTTAGTAATAATGTGGGATGTTTTCTCCTTAGAGAAGTGACTTGAAACTTATACCAAGTTCTTTACTTAGCACGTCTCGTGTTAGTGATTTATGAAATTCAAACTGTTCGAAAACACGTGATTTTGGTGTAAATAATAAATTGTTAATGATGTTGACATCTCCAGCACGAGTAACATGCGCCCAAGAAAGTTGCATTGTATGTGTGCCAATACTTTCAATTTCGAAAATTGTTTGGAATACGTATTTTAAATAAGCATATTCACTTGACCATGCATTGTGTTATTTTAAAATTGTTATTTTACCAATTTTCATAACTTCTTTCAGCCATCATTTGATGTGGAAAGCAAGCTGGAAGCAAGATTTGAATGTCCCATTTGCCTTCAGTGTTTGCAAGACCCACTTCTGACATCATGTGGACATCGGTTTTGTAAAGAGTGTATTAATGCATGGCTGAAGTAGGTTTTCTTTGTGTAATACACTGTTTTATATTTCATAAGAGATGCATGAATGAAGGGTGTATAATTCTTCTATATCATGCAGGCAGAAGGGAGGTACATGTCCTGTGGATGGCCAGGTTTTAAATGAAGAGACTGACTTATTTCCAGATAATTTCACCCGAAGAGAAATTAATGATTTGGAAGAAAGAGCCTCACAAAATCATTCTCAGGTATGTTTATTTTTAAGCATTGTTGAATGGAGTAGGGTTGTGAATATAATAATTACTCAAGTAATAATGAGTGCCAAGTGGCTGAAGTCTGCTACTTCTAGAAAAATATAAATTTTGAGGAAAGGAAGTTAAGAACAAAGTCACATTGCTTTTCTTGTGAAATGTTAGCATTTGTTGACTAGTGATCACCAATAGTACCCAAAATTCTATTTTTTCTTACAGTTGCATTTCAGAACGAAATGTTAAAATTCTCTGTTATTTTCCCAAATATTCAATACTTTAAAACTTTATTGGCATTACAACACTTGCTATGCTCAAGGTTGTTTTAAGAATTGGTACTAAAACCCTAGGCCCTGGTAACAAGGGGCCCTCATATTTAATATTTCTTTTATTTACTCAATTATTGTAGTGGGCTTTTGAGTTAAATCTGAAACCAAATTGACAAATTTAAATTTTAAATTATTTGTACTTCAAAATCAAAATTTTATAATAAAGCACAATGAGGGTAAAAGCCATGAGGAAATAAAGAGTGAATGAGAAATATGAGATCAAGAAAACTATGATAAACACCCAATAGAAGGCATGAAGAGTCTGTACAGAAATCAAAAATTTAAACTCGTAGTAAGATGGAAGAATTACAATAGAAATCCCCAAGAATATTGAACTCCGACAAGGATGTACTATATCACTACTCCCAGCCAATATCTATATAAATCGTATGGTAAGGAAATGGGAAGTAGTACTAGAAAATGGCACACTAATTGCTAGAGGCAAAGAAATGAAAACAATTCTCTATACAGTTGTTACAGACATTTTAGCAATGTATGTAGACTATTTAGAAAGAGCTACTTTTAAACATTTTAATAGAAAGGTAGTATATTGGAAGAATTAATTGATGAATAATACCACAAATATTTGAAGAACTATTGATAATGAACATTACCTCTGGCGAGTGATATTTTTGGTGAAAAATTACAGCATTGACAAAGGTGTCAATGAACAATGTATATGTTTACTTCAAGGATATTATATAGACTTCACTCATTTGCAGTGTGTAATTTTAATGAATGAAATTGTGTAACTTAGTGTTGTTATTGTAGTGATTTCAATTAATTTAATATATTACCTGTTATTAATTTTATACTGCCTTTTGTAAAATGTTAGTATTTAAGTCGGGTAGTCTGTTTTTGCAAAACAAAATATTGGTATGTGGAAAATATATTTTTTTATATAATAAAAAAATATATAATTTTTTTTTCTACAACACATTTCCGGGATGCATGAATGAAAGTGAAAAGTGTTGATGTACCTTTTGATGCTAAAACTGTGACAAATTGAATGATTTTTGAAGGAAAGTCTGCGTCATGATACTGGAAAGTGTAAGTACTGTTGGGTGGTGAAGGAATGATTGTTAAAATTGACAAGTGTACTTTTGGCAAGAGAAAGTATAATAGAGGTAAAAGAATGAGTGAGTAAGTAATTGGTGTATATCACCTTGCAATCAAACATGCTTTTTTTCCTCAACAACTCTTTAAACAAACAGCATACAAAATCATTTGAAAGCATGTGTGTAATTGTGCATCTGTTGCCTCGATATGGCATTAAAGTTCAATTTAAAACCTACATTTATGAATACACAAGGAAGGTGAGATTAGTTTAAATTCCTTTTCTTGTCTAATACAAGATTGTGATAAATACTCGAACAATATACAATAATGAAACTGATAATATAATTGAATTAGTTGAATAGTAAAAACAAAATTTTGAAACATTAGACAGAACAAAGGAACAAAGTATTAGTCTCCATAACATTGCAGCAAAACCAATCCTATTGTTTGGAAGTAAAATGTGGATCTTAAAATGAAGACAGAAGTAGATAAGAAACAGGTCAGATGAGGTGCTTGAGATTACTAAAAGGAGTGATATGAAAGGACAGAATAAGAAATGAAGATGAGGTTGAGTATTAAAAACATAGTTAATGAAATAAGAAGATACCAAAGAAAGTGTCTTGGTCCTGTAAAAAAGATAAAATGAGATGAAATCCAAAAACAAATGCTGAAAACTTAGACCAAGAGGAAGGAGAGAATCAGACAGGTCATGAAAAGGTGGAAGGGCCAGGAATACCTCAGCAATGACTCAGGGCCATCCATAAATTACAGAAGGGTAAATCCATTTTAAGTGATCTACCACAGGTCAGTCAGCTATCTTAGAAAAAATTAATTGTGTATAAATTCCCTTATGGTTTATTCAAAAGCATTCTTAAAAACTTTTGTACATGAACCTCAAAGGTTTAAATTAATACTGCTGATTGGTAATATTCTGCACTTTTCCATCTGCAAATTTCAAAATTTTATTTGATCCCTCAAGAGAGATATTGAAGGATGAGGTAAAGTCGTCGTACAGTTGACAATTTGGAAAAGGCCCAAAATTTCAATTTCTAGGAGAATGTAATTTTTAAGTGATTATTTATCATTGATATATTTCATAGAGTAACTAAATTATGTGTAAAAGTGCAGAAAAAATTACAGCTGTGACTGTACTTGTTTGAAAAATTACTCTCAGAAAATCAAAATTGTTCAATTGTGTTCAATGTAAACCTTACCCAAATAAAAATGTATTAGGTAGATAAATATCATTTTGATTTAGAGACCAGTTTATTGACTACAATGTTTTTTAGTTGCAAAAAGTACAACCTAGTATTGAGTAATTTACAAAACCATAAATATCTACAAATGTGAAAATTAGGTTGCTGCTTAAAATAAAAATATCTGCCATATGTAAAACACATACTATAAAAAAAATTGAAAACAAAACACAAGTGAATTTATATAAAATGTTTGTTTTATCTGAGATGGTCAGGTGGTCAATTAATTCAATTCTAGACCACATAAAATGGAATGACCCTTAATGCAAATTGAGAGTACTTTGAACACATCTTTTCTCCCCTGTAACTCATAATGTGCACTTGGACTTCCTCGTAAATAATTAGAATGCTTGTGACAACACTCCCTTCCCGTTTAGAAGATGTTAAATAAATTATTGTATTAGTAAAACAGTTTGTATTAATTGTATTTGTGTTGTATTTTAAAACTTATGATAATTGAAGTCAGAAATAGTTGGTGATGCTGACTGCACCTTACAATAAGATTAGTGGCAATTTTTGATTGAAGGAAACGTGCACAAGTGATAAAATTTCTGATCACAAGTTGTGCACACACTGTTGTGGATAATGCATTAGTGAGATACTACTGGCACCAATTGGATATACTACTGATCAGTTTTGAATATTTATCCATAATCTAACAGATTCTTTCAGTACACAATTGATGAAAAAATATTTATTTTCATTGTAACAATTATACATAATAACTTTTTAATTAATTTAAATTTTTTGAAATTTAATTTGTTAATATTTTAATGATTTAGTACCAGGGCTAGAAAAAAGAATTAGTAAAGCAAATGCTGAAAAATTGGAAAAAAAATTGCTATTATGGTAACCTAAACTAATACTCTGTACCCCTATGTAATGCTGCCTTGCCTTTGCCTGCCCCTCCCATCCTCTCTCTGCCGTTATGTATTTTATGGACAATCCCTAATAATGAATTTAAAGGAACATGCCTAATCCTTAAAAGTTCATGATGATAATGATAATAATGATATGGGGGTTTCCCATGGTTCTCAATCTTAGGAGATGCTGAAGAAGCTGGGGATGTTTTTGGGAGTCTCACGAGTTACATAAATGTAAATTTTTTGAATGGCCGCATACAAGATGCAGATTGCCACATTTTTTTCAGTAGGACAAGAAATACTAGGAGAAATTTTATTTATTGTAGGTGTCTTTTCTTTTTCTTGAAGGGGGGTTTGAAGATATGTGCTACATTGAAGACTGATAATACTAAAATAACCAATATTTTGAATTTTTGGTTTTCAGGCAAATGAGGAGAATTGAGGCATTTGATTTTCTGTGTGTTATTCTTTCTTCAGTACAGATTTCAAGCCATCATTTACACATGCTCTATATTGTGTTCACATTGGCTGTAACTATTTCATATAAATTCACAAATTAATAATTCTCATGTCTCAGTTTTGTTATTGGTGTCAATCAAGTTTATTTAGGAAGGATAATATAATGTCGTCCCCTCTTCTTTGTTGTACTCTGACACAGAAGGATGATGGAGATGTAAATCATGGTGGAATGGTAGAATGCAATTTTCGAGATGTGGGCTGTCTTGAAACACTTCCTGAGAAAGATTTACCTACTCATCTGGAAACACATCTTCATAGTCACCTTAGTGTATGTATTTCAATGTGCTGTATTCATTATCTTTTATAATGAATTAAAATTGATCAAATTGCATTTGTTGTGAATTAGCTCCTTAGCGCTGCTTACGGTAAATTGAAAATATCGGTTCAAAATCAACAAATGGCAACCAAATCCCATGAAGCCAGCTTCTGGGACCCTGGAACCAAAGGACATTCTGGAGAAAATGGTGTGTGTGAGGTGAGGTCTTGAATGTCAGGTTAAAAATGTAGTGAAATCTGTCAAAGCCGGAATTTTTGGGACAAAAAAATATCTGGTCTAGGGAGGTTTCCATTTAACATACAGTTGTACATTTAACACACAGTTGTCCATTTAACATACAGTTGAGACAGATTTTACTGCACATTGTGTTGTGTGTGTTGATTATATAGAGATACTACAAATTGTTTCATTTTAGGAATCTTCCCCTTGGCAAGGTTTGATGCGTTCTTTGTATGAAAGAATTGTGGTCCTGGAACAACGAAATCATGAACAAGAGATTCAGTTGGAAAATTTAAAGCGACAGCTTTCTTCAGTGTCAGCAACATCCTCTGCAGGAATTGAAAGACTTTCACAAGATTTATCTTTAAAATATTGTGGTGGTGTTCTTGTTTGGACTGTGAGTGATATATCTGAAAAACTTGAAAAAATGCTTTCATTACCAAATGCTTTTATGGAATATAGTCCAAGCTTTTACACTTCTCCCAGTGGCTACAGGTAAACAAAAATTCTTTTGTTACATTGAATTGTTCATATATGTTATGCAAGGCATCAAACCTTTTTAAATAATGATCCACTAGTTGACGATAAAACATGTTGCTTTTGATAGTTTCCTTATCTTTTTATTCAAACACATTGCAACTCCGCTGGAAGACTTCCCCTCCACACTTGAGTTAATTACAGGCATTTATATCCACCAAGTCCATGTCATGAAAAAATGCCCCTGTTCCAATTTTAAAAAAAAACATAATCCATAAGAGGTCTTTGTATGTTATGTTACATTCCTAATGAGTATTAGAATCTCATCATACATTACTTTTCATATTCTTAAAATAATATTTACAATTTTTTCTATGAGCACAAAAATCTTTAAATTCTTCTCCAACAGAAATGCTTATATATGATCAGTTTTCCACTGGGTGTGCAGTATATTATTTGTTAGTTTATGTATTTTTTACTTTTGTTTTAACTAAACCTTGCCAAAAAGCATGGCTAAGATTCGTTGTTTGTACAAGAATTTTAAAAAAATTTTAAGAGATAGAGACACACGTATTCCGTTTTTCTTGTGCTTGACTTTTAAAAATTTACGCTAAAAATTTAGGACATGGCACAAAGTAATTTATTAATAAATCATTTAAAACATGTTTAATTAAAGAGAAAGTTATATATTCACAATAACTAATTTATAATAATTAATAATAGCAGTAACAATGGTAGCACCTGCATAATTGTAATTTGTTATAAATGAATAAAATGATTTAAAAACAATAATTAAAATATTTCAAGTGTACCTAAAATGATATTTTTATTGGTTCTATACTAATAATATTGTATTACATATGTAGAAACGATAGAGACGATTAAGATAAATTATTTAATTTTATATGTACAAAAGTTTGGTGAACTAAAAGTTGAAGTCGTAAAGTGGTTATTAATTTAGTTCACTCCTTTTTGAACTATTTTGTTTTTGAACCAGAACGCTATTCCTGCGCATACTTCCAGAAATCCAGTCCTGCACTTCTTGGAGGGAGAGGACAAAATCGAAAAATGCTCAAAATCCTAGACATCTTTTGATTTCCCTGATAGTTCATTCTCAAAACTTTAAACCAACAAGATGTGTGAAATTATGAACTTTTTTTAAATCCAAAACCTAAACTCTTTCATTCGGTTACAGTTCTAACAATAAATTCAATGAAATAGAAAAACTTTCAATTTCAGTTTTGATGCCTTGATTTTATCATATAGGTAATGGGAGTTTTCGGTGTAACACTTTTTTCTCTTGATTTTAATTTGCATTATGTCTTATATTTATAATAATAATAATAATCATAATAATAATTGGTATTTTCTATTGGTTTTGCAGATTTTGTGCACGTCTCAATATCTCACCAAAGGAACGTGATCATCTAGCTTTGTTGATTCATTTGAAGAGAGGCGACAATGATCAGTTTCTTGATTGGCCATTTAGTGGGCGAATTAGTTTCACTCTGATAAATCATTTGTATCCTCATCTACATTTGCACGAGACAATGATGTCTAGACCAGAACTCGATGCTTTCAAACGCCCTATTGCAGATTTGAATCCTCGAGGATTTGGTTACACAGAATTTCTATCTGTGTATGATTTGAGACATCAAGGTTTCATATATGATAACAGAATTGTCATCAAGATTCAAGTACAGTGTGTGTGATTTAATAAAAGCAGCAATAATCCTTGTGTTGTAGCATATCCGTCCATAAGAATGCAGTGCATTTAACAATTTTAAATGAAATTGTGTTTCAGTATGTATTTTTGCAGTATTTTGTGAAAAAAATCCTGTTTTATTATTTTTGAAGATAAAAACTATATAAATATGTGGATTTTCTTATGTTGGCACTATGGTATTGTATCTATGGTTAAAATATACAGATATTTCAAGATCATATTCCTAATCTCCTACTGATATATAACATTAAGGAAAACATTACACTCGAACAGCTTTTAGCTCGAACATCAAATTTGTTCAGTAATGTTAATTCAGGGATCCAGAGCCCAAGGGTTATTAGTGGATTTTTGGCAAATTGAGTTAGTTTTTACTTTACAGTCTAGTCCTATTTTATTTTGTGAACAAACAGTATTCCAATAACTCAAAGTTGTGGTGGTGGAAAGAAAATGCCTGTATTTTCTGTCACTTGCCTTTGAACTCTTACTTTCTGCAATACATGAAGGGTATTATTCCCTTGTGCTCTAAGCCCCTCAATTGTGTTCTGCTATTGACCTGTCATTGCTCTTGTTTAGTTTTGTTGTCCACTGGAAGGTTAGATTTTATCATCCCATATCAGTGTTGTATTTATTACTGTATGGATAAAATGCATCCATTAATATTGGGGGGGAGGGAACAAAAAACTATTCTATTCTATGTGTAGGTAACTATTCTATTCACGTGTAGGTTTAACAATACCTAACTTGTTTCATACAAATGTTGGCTCATTTTTTTTCATGTTAAGAGTTATTGATTTGCATGTAGATGCTAAACTGCTGTTGCAAAGTTTAATTTAAAGCTTTCACTTCGAACACTGCAAGTTGCCATTGTACTCATTTAACATACTGCATGGCAGGATTGAATAGATTAAATTGTAAAAATGTTGGGTAACTTGTGAGAAACTAGCAGACTATGGTGCACCACCACCACATATTAATCACAGAGCTGGTAAGAAACAGTTGGCTGTTAAACTGTCCTGTGAGTAGGCAATGTTATGATGGTAGTATATAGAAATGTTTTTTTCTGAAGTATGGGTAGTAACTGCCGGTTAATGCTATAATCCTTACGTTATTCATTTTTGATATACCTTGCAACAAGGTTAAAAATAAATTCAATAATGAACTAAAGTTATTTGTCAGACTACCGACATTCTCTGATCTAGGGAACTTCAAAATTTAAATCTCAATCTTATCTTTCAAAATATAAAATTCAGAAAAGTTATACCTTGTGATTACAACATAAGTAGTAACATGGTAGATAAATTTAAAATTGAATGTCATGAACCTCTCCAAGAATTAACTTCTTGCAAAAGGTAGAAAATTTTGTTTCATAATAAATTTTGAACCAAGGTCTTTGCTTTTCAAGAATAGTTATTTTCGCGTTTAGACTCAAATTACTTGACTCCTAGGATTTTTTCCGCACATGAATTACTAATTTTGTGACAAACTATCAATTTACACCAGTTTTGAAGGTATGTGAAAAATCTGGCCCTGAAGGACAATAGGAATTGCATTGAAATAAGTTTGGCAATTAATGGTAAACTTTTAATAACAATTTACATTTCATTTCCCCCACTAGCAAGTTTGTAGAAAAATTGTGAACCACAAAACTACTTTTACACTCTTCAAGACACTGTATCAAACATACACAAATAACATTTAGGCTATAAATTGAACTGCTCTTCATAGGAATAGGAGTCATTTTGTATACATAGCATTCAAGCTACCTCACATTCAATACTGATATTTCACACCTCTCTGCACCACTCAATGTGCTAACACGAGTCTATAAACTGTATTTACCATTTCCATTTTCACATGCATCATGGCAATGCAAGTAGTAACAATTAAATATTTAAAAACTCAGGTTTGTCTTTGGTTATTTTACAACACATTTGTCACTTATGGCAATTGAAGACTACTGTTATTTTTACACTAAAATGTTAGCTGATGTGGATGCCACTGAATGAGATACTGAATACCATTATTAACAGTAGAATATGACTTTCATTATTTTCACATATAACAAAATTGCAAAAAGTTCATATCACATATGGGCACTTGTAATTTCCATCCAGCTTTCCTATGTACAATACAAATTATGACAGCTGGTAATGAAGAAATTTTCCTGGAGATTTCAGGACTAGTATTGCTCATTTCATGCAAGACTGTGCTTAGTACATTATAAATGAAATTCATCATGGAGATAACTGCTAAGTGGTATGATTCAGTCAATGTGCTTAAATAGCACAATCACAATGATACACAGAAAAAATATTCAGCCTTGGAACTCTGAAACATCCAGAAGCGGAGCTCTTGATGTCACATGTTCACAATGGATATAAAGCGTTGATATTCGGTTTCTAATATAGGCCATTCACTGAATAAAATCCACAACGTAGTCATCGCCACCATTTTCAACTGCTTTCACAGCGCACTGTATCACAATTACTACTCCAAAACAAGCAGTTTCCAATACCACTGTAACATATAAGGAATACCGCAGCAATAAACACCAGACTACATATTGTACACGGCTTCCTTTCCAGGAAGAAACCTATTAAATAAAGGACCATGAACATAACGTGCGTGTGAATAAGCGCTGGGTTAACAGGCTTTGGAATTAACAATACTGGAATAAGCCATTGTAAACAATACATGATTGGAGAGTTCACAGAGTATCGCAACTAGTCAATACACAATTTTAACATATCAACCATTGACGTTAGTTGTTCATCGACAACACCGGACTCCACTTTCCTTTTCGTGTATTACGTATTACTCACACCTCCAACATGCCAAAATGTCATTGATACCAACAAGCCAATGTCTTATGTTCATTTCTTGAGAAAAATATTGGTCTATATAAATAAATAATTCTACATAAACGTTTCAATACTAATATTCACGTTTCTAGCGCGTTAAAAAATATTTATAGTTTAATTCGAAATGCATGTGTGTGCCAATACGGAAACATTCACTTTCATCTTCTGTTTAAATGCTTTGACACTAAACCTCGTCACTATTTGGCGAAGCTATAGCGACTAGTAAATTGCCCATGCCACTATTATAAATTAGTTTCGCCACGAGAGTTGTATTACTCTCAGGAGCTAGACATCTCAACTAAATATATATTTTTATATTAAATACTCAATGAAATATTGGCCTAATGTTAACCCAATGAATTATCACAATATTGGTTTTTAATTAACTGTGCCAAGCAATATCTTAGGCAAGATTTTTTCCAGATCAGAATAAGGATTAATTTTTTTATGTCACTGGAGATCTATAAACAGTACAAGTGTCTCGATTAATTGTACTTAATGCCCAATACAAATTTGAGGAAAAGCATCACAGGTCAAACATTCACCTCTACTATTGTAAATCACACAACATTGGATAGAATACGCACAAATAAAAAACACTTCATGAACTACAGATAATTTTAATACAATTTATTACATAACATAGCTATACAATAATAGATATTTGAAGAATTCACTTATGCTTCTGGGGGAACACCTGCCATTTTTGCCAAATCAACCAATTCCTCTGTAAAAAGAAAATATATGAATAATCGTAAATATCTTTCTGATTAATTGTTTTCTTAAAATAGGCATTACATACGTTTTGCTAGTCTTGATTTCTCTTCTGCGAGTTTCGCTTCACGAACAACACGCTGCTTTTCTTCGATTTCACGGACTTTTTCTTCTTTCTTCGCTAATGAACGGCGATGGGAAGCACCGTATAAAACTCCTACTACCAGAAAACTCCATCGTCCAAACTGGAAAAAATAAGTATTAAAACCTTCATTTTGCCATTTTTATGACCAAACATCAATCAAACTCTCTAAACGCCGAAGCCGTCAATCAAGATCTTAGTAACTCATAGAACAATTATATTAATACATTCCGTAAACGACAACAAATTGAATAAATTATGACGACCATTCAATGTTAGTTATAGCAAATTGTGATAACACTTTATCACAACATATACTGATGTACGAACTTATATAAACTTAAGTTGTGTGGCGTTATATACCTTAATCAGGGGTGAAACTCGAACAGGAGCTGGTGCATCAGCCATTTTGCTATAAATTAATTAATTGATGCTTCTGCCTTCGGTTAAAGAACCCTGGGAAAGAGAATCAGCTCCAGAAAGATTTCGCAGATTTCCCTTGGTCAGTAGCGGTAACTTATGGTGGGGAGTAAAGAATAAACACGAACTGGGAATAAACCAGAGAGTATGGAATATGCAGCCCGTGAAACAAAAGAAGTACAAAATTGGTAGTGTCGGCAACTTTACAAGCTTTACAAGTGATATATCTTTCCACAAATTCTTGATTGAATTTTGCTCCGGCAGAGCGCACTACAAGCCGTCCAATCTATCGAACACGATCTCCCCAGAAGCGCTGCCAGCCAGTTGTTGTCATTGCGTTGCGTTGTTGTCTGGAGGTTGGACGTAAAGCCATTATCGCCAATATGGCGTTACTTTGGACTGTCGTGTCTGTGTCGTTCTCCATCATAATAACGCCGTTTTTAATGTTTTTATTAGCAATTATTTTTCTAGCCTCGATAGGAAAATCGTTAGGGGTGCGAAGACTGTACGTGAAGATATTACTGAAGATTTTCGAGGTATGTACTTGCTTTTTGGTTATGTGTAGTATACGAAGACCCTTTTAGATTTTGAACTTCTGCAAAGTTCTTAATTTTAATTGGTCTTTGTTCCCTGCTATATTGTGTGAATATTTATTTACTTTAGTTTGAAGCATTGTAGTGCAGTGCATTCCATTATATGGACAAAGTTGAAGGAAACAAAACGTAACTGTCAAGCTTAGCGGTAGTTTCTCGTTTAAGGATATGATCACATCTACATAAATGAGTTCTCTCGCAATTATCTTGGCGTCATGTAGGTTTTCAGGCAACGACGAGGGCGTGTGCAGGTGTGCGTTGAGTTCGGATTGATTGCCGCTGCTTCCCCCTCTCGAGCGCTCGTTCGCACGCGCGAGCGATCCGGAATGCTGGGTGAACGGCGGCGGAACGTCCCCCAAAATAACCGTTGAAGAGAAGATCACTCTCGGCCGGGCTTTGCGGCGCGACATCTGTTGTTCCCGTCTCGCGTGCCGGGGTGCGCCAAGAGGCGTCGTGGGAGAGCAGGCGGGCGCCATCGATTTACCCGACGGGCCGTCCGCCCTCGCGTCGTCGCGAATCATTACGCGCGGCGCGTGGTCTGTGCGCGGGGGTGGCGTGACACGAAGGGGTTGACAGCATTCGCTTTCCCTGCCCCACCGCCGCCTCCGCCGCGGCGCGTACTTTCTTGCGTTCGGAATGTTTGGCGAGGAAGGTCGCGCCGTGACGAGTGCTTGTGCACTGGTGACGCCGCCCCATACGCGTTGGAAGGCATGCGGCCGCGTGTCAGTCGAAGCGCGCCCGTGTCTGCCTCGCCTCCCGAAGAAGCGCCCCGCCCGCCACTTTTTCACTTTCTCCTGCGAGAACTTCGTTGAATACGAGAATATCCTGTAATTCTCAGGAGAGCATGCCCCACCCCGCTGAAACAGGCCTAGAGTTTTCGTTTGTTACATTCCTTTATTTGGCAAAATTGATTTACATATTTAAGCTCGAATTATTAAAAAAAATGTTTAGTATCATACATAGAATTAAAAATAATATACAATATAACAAAAAATGTTTATTAGTTAACAAAAAGTTATGATGGCCTCCTCCGAAGTCATCTGCTGGATCCGCTCCTGGTAATGCTGCACAGAAAAGTGCCGATCTTTCGGCAGTAAAACACGTTTCCTGGAACCGAAAAGGTGGACTTTTGTATTTACGTCGTAAATTACTTTATCTTATATAAAATGAAGTTTGAATCCACGTCTTGTGGGTTTTAGATACTGGTTTTCGCAAAACTTAGGCCCGATCGTCTGAAAAAAAAAAAAAAAAAAACTCCAGTGTCTACACCGTGCAGAAAAATTGCATCAGATTTGATATTTTCGGATCGATTTTGCTAATGTTCCCGTCCCTTCGAATTTCTCACAGATATTTTGATTTTGGGAGGTTCTTTTTCTATGGACCTTTAAAACAAAAATAACGACAACATTTTACCGTAAGTACGGTTATAAGTGTGGTGCAGGTCCAGTTTTAATCCAAAACGTTTGAAACGGATAACCGAACAAAAGGGCATACTTCGGTTTCGGCTTCAGAAATGTGAGCTAAAGACGTCACTTGTTTATCTGAAGTCCGCAGGTTCGTCCCCCATTCCTGCTAATTTTTCGCTTATTGGAAGCATTTCTCCGGTTTCAACTAGTATTATTTATAATGTTACACAATGATTACAAATAATACGATTAAGTATATGCTGCAGTGCCACCATTTCTCGTTACGGAGTAGAGAGAAAGTTATGTAATGCTGCGCGAAAAAAACCCGGCTATTTTCGACTAAAAACTCTTATTACAGGGCCCTGGTAACGAAAAAGCGGATAAATCTTGTTGCTAAATTTAGGAAAAAAAATCCTGTAACAAGTGGTGTTAGCCAGAATCCACGTTTTGTGGGTCATACCGTTCATACCGAAAAGTCGATTGACGGCAAAAGTCTCTCCAATTGTGAAGAACGCTAGTGGCTAAACAGTTCAGCTGATTTTCTCCAAAACGGCTGATCGCTTTGGCGATGTCGCTGCCACTTGAATTTGAAACCGATATTTTAATATGTGTGTGTGTGTGGGGGGGGGGGGCATTAAGCTCCTGGGATATTTTCCAAATTTTCAAAAAATGGCTCCATCGTTTTTTATTAAATTTTGTTGTTAGTGTGAATGGCGTTTAAGAGAACGGTGCTGGTCTCATATTCTGATTTTTCGAAAATTACAAAAGTTAAGCATTTTTTTTTCGGAGTCTTCCTTCAACTAAAACATTAAAGATAGAGATTTTTCCCTCCTCAATGAAATCTCTTCCTTAAATACACATTTTGAAATAACGTCACGTACGATTTTTCGAAAATTTGAGTGCTTTTGACGTAATTTTGCGTGAAAGTATTGGAGAAAGTATGTGCTGCTGTAGCGGCACCATTTTCTCGTGTGGGCTGGTCGCCAGCGCGCCACGGCACGAGCTCGTGCGTGCTTGCTTGCTTGCTTGCTTGCTTGCTTGCTTGCATGCGTGCGTGTGTGATCAAATGGCGCGAGAGGGGGCTGCCGTCGCCCCCACCGCGTGCCCAGGATGTGCGCTGATGGAGCCTAAGCGGTCCGTGATGAAGGGGGGCGCGGCCGGCGCCCTGACCTAGGGTGCGCGGAGGCGGAGCCGGCTCACACAGTGGGCGGCTTTCCCGAGGCGGTGCGGGTTGAACGAGCATGGATGGGGACGGCTGGACAGTTTTTCCAGGGGCGCTCCGTCGAAAGATTGCTTTTCTCGTGAAATGTGCCCAGTGAAAATAGCAACCAATCGACACGATTTTTGAAGATAAATTTATGGAAATTCTATTTAAATAAAATTTGTAATGCTTTAAATAAAATTGCAGTGTTTCAACAGGAATTAAATGAAAACTTACATTCATCGACCCTTTAATTGCAAACTTTCATGATGATTGATCGTGTATTGTTTACAATGTTACAATTCAGTACAACTGAAAGCCCAAATCTATCGTAAGTCAGTTGTCTATATTGGGTGTGTATATGTCCCTGCCCCTGTCGCTCTCTGTGAACAACGCTAGCGGCTACAACGTATAGAGGATTTTGACCAAGATCGATATTTCCCAATTGACTTGGCCAATTTCGCGGCTCCTGGAATTTGAAACCGACATTTTAATTTTGGGGTAACTTTACAGAAAGCCGCAAGAACATTTTCAATTTTGTCTTCAAAAATGGCATTTATTTTTTGAATGAAGTTTTACATAGGATAGAGCAAAAACCCGTATAAAACGATGCAAGTCTAATTTTCCTTGAATTCCATGAATTTTTGAAAATTACAAGTTATTACACTATTGGTTCTTTATTTAACGCCATGTACATTAAAAAAATATCGTTAGCTTTCGAACAGAAGAGACTCCAAATTTATCAAAGAAAATTCGCATATGGAACGAGGTTTTACTAGGTATTCTATAATATTCTTGAACTAATATTTTAATCCTAAGATTAGGGACCGAAAACCTGAGAAAATGTGAAAATGTTTTTAGGCGCTGGGAAGAAGATAGGGTCAAAATCGAGAAACTTGCGTAGACCTAAGAGTGAAGGAAGTTTCTGCCATCACAAGTTTAAGGTGTAAATATTGTGATCCTCAAATGTTTGAAGTAGTGTTCAAATGTCCGATACTTTAAGGAAAGTCGAAATCTTTCATATTTTATTACTTCAGTTGTAAACCCCCGACCTTCGTCAGTAAATCCGTTTTGACTGAAAGCAGAATAATCGATTGCTTGTTTTGTGTGTTGAGTACCTATTGTTGAGAAGGTAGGTCCCCTCCTAGAGGGACGCAGAAGACGGTGAGTTGCATATCTTTATCTTTGCCCTCTGATAAATTAGCTCTTTCAGAAATTTGTTTATGAACCAGATTGAGATCTATTAATATTAGGACGTGGTCTTAATGAACGTTTTCACGCATTTTTCATTATAAAGTTTTCCGGGTTCTGCCGGTTGAATACTTAAAATGTATTTCTTAAGAGATCAAATGTCATTTTATCGTAACACCACCGGGAATACTACTTTAGAACGCAAGATCACTATTTGGATCCAGCAATTAATATTAGCCGAGATTGAAAAGATTCATGTAATTGTTCTGGCCACTATGCCTTTGGAATCGTAGAATTTCTATGGAATTGTTCAAATAAAGCAGTTTCTTTTTTTTATTTCTTTGCAAGGAAGCAGGAAATTTTAGGCCCACAGATCGTTAATTTTAAATTTCATACAAGAGAAGTAGCTTTTACAGATTAAATGCATTTTTTCTACATTTTAAGGCAGTTTTCACGTGTTTTTGGCGGCGCGTAGGGTGAGACTGTTAGGAACCGAACCGGTTATCTCGCATTTTTGCCGATGTAGTCGTTAAACCTTCAATTTTTTCGAATTTTCCATGCAAATGTTTTTCCTACATCTTTTATGACGTGTATTTGTTGACGACCGCAGAAAAAAAATTGTTCCGTGTTGTATAAAAATAAGACATTTCTTGTAAATTGTTTAATGTTTTTCTTAGGGGTCTAATCAGTGGAGATGTTCGTCAGTTCCTCTACATTTTCACACTTAAACGGGGTCTAAAGATTTTCTTGAATCGTCAGCAATTTTCCTCGGTTGGTAGGTGTTTCTCGATTTTTTAGAAAAAAAAGAGCATTTTTCCGCCACATCTACTCTTATGCTTCTTAAAAGTACCGGTTTTCGTCAGTTTATAGGTCAACATGAGAAGTGAAGTCACGTTCAGTTACAAAATTTTTCTTTCATTGGCTCCGTTTACAATTTTTTGTTCTGTTTTAACTTGTAAAAATGAGGTCAATGTCATAAAAACCGAGAAAACTACTCGACCTCGAAAATGGTGGCTAGTTGTGCGCTTCACCTGTGAATATGAAGAAGTAAGACCTGAACATCTTCGGCGGTCTCTCTGGAAACTCTTGAGCGCTGTTCTGAAAGCTCTGAAAGGGGCGACAGCCTCTTGCACATAAAATAATTG